TAAATTCTGTACTCATTTTCTTTGTTTTGTTGTTGTTTGTTTCTTCTGATCATGATTCTGGTGATAATTTACAGGTTTTAAGCAAACAACAAAGCAAAACAAAAAAAAAAACCTCGAAAAATGAGCCGGCTTTTTTGAGAAGAAATTTTTCGAAAACTTTCAAATGTTATCCATAAAGTGAAGTTTTTCTGCTTTGTTTTGTTTTTTAAACAACAACAACCAAGCTTTCAACCCCCCGAAATAAAAAGGTATGTTTTCAACTTTATTATTCAATAATAATCATTTAGGAAATTAAGGGTTATTATCTGAATATCTATGATACAAATGTAGCAATCAACAAAAAAAAACAGAATGAACTAATTTTATTTATTGAGGGAGTGGTTATAACCTACAAAAAAAAAAATTACCTGAAAAAATACCTTGATGACTATATTTATGAATAGTGTCATCATCATCATTATCATCTATCATATTCACCTGATTCATTTTAGGTAGAAAAATCATATAAAAACCAGGAATTCTTTACTATCATTTTATTTTGTTGTTTGTTTTGCTTTTGTTTTATGGTTTTTGTTGTCCATTGGATCATCACGCTCAATTAAAATGCAATAAAAATGAATGAAAATGAAAATGAAATGGATCATAAATTTTCATTCGGAAAATGAAAATCTTTTTCGACTTTTTCGACAATGTTTCTAATTGATGATAGCGGCAGCTTACCTATATCGACTCAAACAGCCAAAAAAAAAAAACGATTATCATTTTGGCGAATGATAATAATAATGATAATGATAACCACAAGGGAAACATTGATTTCAATTTTATCAAAGATAGATAAAGATAGAGTCACGAAACATTGATTTTCTCATCCATATCCAAAGTGAGAGAGAGAGAGAGAGAGAGAAAGATGTGTTGATAGTTTTGTTTTGTTACACAAGGGATGTATAAAGTATAATGAAAAAAATGACCGGTATTTTTTTCTTCCGAAATACAGAATTGATTTTGAAACAAAAAAAAATTCTTGAAATTCTTGAAAAATTCATATACAATGTATATGAATGAAATTCCTTGTTCAAATTCTGCTTCTTTCTTTCGTCGTCCCCATAAAATTTACATAATATTCAAATCAGGGAGTAACTAAAACGAAATTCAAAATTCTTTTCTTTTCTTTTTTGATTGTTTGGCAAAAAAATGAAAAAAGGCCTGACAAACAATGACATTTATTATCATTGTTTGGTTGGTCGGTTGTTTGTTTTCGTTTGATGTCATTATTATTATGAAAGAAATGAAAAGAAATTCTTTAGCCTGAAAGAATGAATTCCCGGGACAAACAACAATAGAGAACAACAACAACAACAAGAAAACAATGATGATGATGATGATGGGAGCCATGAATCTGGAATTAACTTTGTTGTTTCGAGTTAAAAACTTATTCAAATTTCGTTTTTTGCTTTCTCTTTATTCACATTTTGATTATTATCATCAATGTTGAGAATATCGAGAATCGAGAATCAAGAATCAAAATTTTAGTTTCCGTGATTCCGCCCATTCGATTATTATCGATTATGTTGGCGACAATAATCTCCATATAGAAAAGTATTAGTTATTCACAATATTCATGGATCAGATTTTCAATAACTAAAATAGGAAGTTTAGTCTATTGAATTTCATAATATGAAGAGATTTTTTTCTTCTCCTGGTTGTGTCCCAAATATAACGATAATGGATATTTTCATTGTTGTTTGAGTTTAATCAGGCAAAAATCCATCATTGTGTTTAAACATTTAAAGTAAAATTAAGCTTAAAACCTTTTTACCTGGAGTGTGTGTGTGTGTTGGTTGCATTAGACAGATTTTGATGATAATAATTGCAAACAAATCAATCGATCGATCTAGCCCTAAAGCATATTTGTTTTTTGAAAAAAAAATGTTACACGAAAATTTTCATAATGTTCACTCCAGTGTTAAATCTATGTGATAAGTGAAAAATCACTTTTTTTCGTTTGGTTTGAAACAACAACTCTTTCCATAAGCTTATGTGACACATACATATTTACGTCTTTGAACAGGTAATTCGTCTTTCACTATGGTTTCTTTGGGATTATTATCAAGGACAACCAAAATAAGCCATGTGTGTGTGTGTGTGTGTGTGTGTAAAAAATGATAATCTTTGAAAAAAAAATTTCTTTAAATTCTTTTTTAAATAAACAAAAACAAAAAAAAAAAAGATTTCTAAATAACATAATGAACAAGCCAGCTAACTAACCAACAAAATCAGGTTTTCTTTTGACTTTTATTTTCTTCTTTTTGTTATTTTATTTTAGTTTGGAAAACCAAAGAGCGAAACAAAAATGTCAAATTCTTCAGCATTTTTAAACTTTTTTTAAGAAAATTCATATCAAACCACTGAGAAAAAAACACATTCAATCAATCAATCAACCAACCAACCTGTCATCACATATCAATCAATCAATCAATCAATCATGTCCATAACATCAAAAATGATCCTAATATCAACTATATTGATTCTATTTGAATCGATAACATCGATATCATCATCAATGAATATTGCCATGATATCATCATCATCATCAACTGCGGCTATTTCCACATCCATTGCAAATTCTCCAAATTCTAATGTCGATAATAATAATGGTGCAATTGGTAGTGAACAACGTTGTGAAAAAATAACAATACCAATGTGTATGGATATTGGTTATAATTATACATCGATGCCAAATCTATTGGAAATGGAAACACAAGAAGAAGCTGGTTTAGAAGGTAAGATTTTTTTTTTCTGTAAAATTTTTTCGGAAAATTTTCCCAAATTAACATGGACCAAAAAAATTTCATTTTATCGAAAAATCTGGTCCAGTCCAAAATGTTGAATTACCCGATTGATTTTGGTAGTGGGGAAATGTTAGTTACCCGAATTGAAATGAAATGAATGAATCATCAATCATCATTGTTTGAGTTTTTTCTTGTTTTCTGGCTGTTCTGCAAATGATGGATGAGTCTTGTTTGTTTCGCAATGAAATGACATGTTCAGTCAGTCAGTTAGTTTTTCATTGTTCACTGGCCATATAGGTAGGATTTTTACGTTTTTCGACGATTCTATTCGGCGACTATTTCGACCAGATAGATTTTCTCGGGTAAATTTATGCGGTAATTTCAGGGAATTTAAACGGTAATTTTTCCCCCACACACTTATCAAATTGTCAACTGCAAACTTGCAATCATCATAATAATTTCTGAATTGCGTGTGTGTTTTTAATCAGAAAAATTTTTCAATCAAAAAAAATGATGATGATTATTATGATGAGAATCGATCCATCTGTCAAAACAAACAAACGAAGGGAGAGTGAGTGACAGAATGATATCTTTATTTTTTAAAAATGAATTTATCAAACCAGAAAAAGTGCAATGACATTCTTAATTGGGTTTTTTCGTTTTGTTTTTTTCGTTTTTGGGTTTCTGAAACAATTCTGGTTTAAAATTCATTCAACCAAAAAAAAGAAAAGAATCTCATTATCGACTCGATTTTCAAGTTTTTGTTTTCTGTTTCCTAAAGAAATATTCAAAACGAAAATTTCATTTGAAAACAAAAAAAAAACTTAAACTAAAATACAACAGTAGTTTTGGCTGGGTCGCCACATTGATTAATAGCCAGGCTAGTTATCGATCCATCTTTGGTTTGGGAGTGAGACTCTGGTCGAAAGAAAAACTGCTTGGAACTGCTGCTGTTGTCCACCATGAAGAAATGGAAACCAGACAAAAACTCTTTTTCCGCATTTTGTTTTGCAAAAATGACCCATTTGAATGTGGAATTTCGAGAGAGAAAAACAAAAAAGCCAGGCCAACTAAAGTTTGACGATTATAAATCATCAAACTTGGTATTTTTGGAGGAATATTCTGTGTTTAACTTTTTTTTTGTTTTGCATTATACACACCAGATGTTTAGTTGTGTCCAGGAAATGGTTTTTTGGACCAATGTTTTCGTTTTTTCATTTTCTACATTTTGAGAAATTGTCATTGTCGTTTTTGAAAAAGAAAAAGAAATTTTCACTTTGTAAAAAAAAATTCTCCCTGAAAAACGAAATATAAATAAATAAATATCGAGCCACAGAATTCAGAATTTCAATTTCACAGAATTTCTTCTTTTTTTCAAACTGAAAAAGTTTATTTATTAACAACCGAGAAACAGCAGCAGCAGCAAGAAAGAAAATAACATTCAAGCTTCAAGGCACGATTTTATTCTTTATTCTTTCTCTCGGAATAAAAAATACAAAACGAAAAAAAAACGATCGAAAAAAATTTGAATAATGATGCTCATTTTCGATCGAATGTTTGCGTTGTTGATGTTGGTGATGGAAAAAATCAATCGATTTTTTCGTCCATCTAAAAAAATGTACAAAAAAAGCAATTCGAAAGAATGTTTCGTTACCGCTCGATAATGATGATCAAGTTTATTTTTTTGTTGAATTTTCACTTTTTTCAATTTTTTCTTATTTAAAATTCATTTCATTTGCAACAAAAACAGTACATCAATTTTGGCCATTGGTCGAAATCAATTGTTCGGATGATTTGAAATTTTTCCTATGTTCAATGTATGCACCAATATGTATTGAAGAATATCCTGGTCATATACCATCATGTAAATCGGTTTGTGAACGTGCTGTAAGTTTTGTTTTTTGTTTTGTTTTGGCTGTTTTTTTAAAGTTTTTTTTTCTCATTTGAATTTGAATAGCGTGAAGGATGTAAACCAATTATGATACAATATGGTTTTCCATGGCCAGATAAAATGAATTGTTCCGAATTACCTGTTTATGGTGATGGACAACAAATTTGTATGGATCCAAAAAAAGGTGCTGGTATTGAAACCGATAATCATTTTGATCATCAAATGAATAATGGCAATGGTAATTTACTTGCAACAACAAATAATAATAATCATTTGGATGAAAAATTCAACCATAATAAAATTCATCATAATCATAATAAAGCAAAATCAAGAAATAATAATAATAATGGTAATAAAAATCACCAACAACAACAACAAATATTCTCAACAACAACAACAACAACGACAACAAATTATCCACCTATATTATCATCATCATCCTCAATGGATAATATATTCAATCAATATAATGATCATAATGAAATGAAAAAACTACCACCACCAGCAACAATTATTGAATCAAATACATGTCGTTGTGATTGTCGTCAACCATATTTTATTCGTTTAACATCGACTACCACAGCAGGTATTACAAATCAAATAATTGATTATAATGATCATCATTATCAATCATATCAACAACATCAATTTCATCATCATCAACAACAATCGATACATCATTTTAATTATTCAAGAATTGAAACAGCATATGGATTAGCATCAATTTGTGCATTATCCTGTAAAGGTTTATATCATTTTAATGAAAATGAACAAGAAACAGCATTTTTTTGGATCGGTATTACAGCAGCTATTTGTGCTATTACCTGTATGTTAACAGTGTTTACATCGTTAACCGATACAGAACGTTTTCGTTATCCAGAACGTGCCATTATTTTTTTAGCTGCATGTTATATTTTTATTGCCGGTGGTTATCTTTTACGTATTCGTTTAGGACATAATGCTATTGCTTGTGATGGACCATTTATTCGTTATCAACGTACTGGTCCAACACCAGCATCATGTATATTAAGCTTTATTTTGCTATATTTTTTCGGTATGGCATCAGCATATTGGTGGTTAATATTAACATTAACTTGGTTTTTGGCTGCCGGCTTAAAATGGAGTAGTGAAGCAATCACTAGTTATGCTCAATATTTTCATCTATTAGCATGGTTATTACCAACAGCTCAATCGGTAACAATTTTATGTTTGGGCGCTATTGATGGTGATCCATTTATGGGTGTTTGTTCGGTTGGTAATCAAAGTCGAGCAAATCTATTGATATTTGTCATCACACCATTATGTGTTTGCATCGCAATCGGTATATTATTTTTATTTACCGGTTTTGTTGCATTATTTCGTATTCGTCGAGCAATTCGTCAAACACAACATACAATACGTGTTAAAACAGATAAATTAGAAAAACTTATGATTCGTATTGGTTTATCATCATTTTTATATATCGTACCGGAGGTAGTTGTTGTTGCCTGTCATATATATGAATATATTTATCGACCATTATGGGAAAAATCATTAACCTGTTTATGTAATGATAATAATTCAAATAATGATCAATATTCACCACAATTCAGCATAATAATATTAAAATATATAATGAGTTTAATCATTGGTATTACATCAAGTTTTTGGATATGGTCTGGTAAAACATTAGAATCATGGATGAGAATTTATACAAAAATTTCATGCTGTTCAGTAACGAAATTTGGTTCACCAAATTCATCATCACGTTCATCCGGTGCTAGTCAATTATTACCAAATATGGGTATTAATTATTATGGTAGAGATATTATTAATGGATCATCATTACCAATGAAAACACAGACAGTTAATCTAGGACCAACAACTGCAACGACAACAACATCAACAACACCCCTTCATCATCCACATTCACATCATCTTAATCAATTACATCATCACCATCAACAACATTTACATCATCATCATCAATTGAATGAATTACAACAACAATCAAGACAAGCATCATTAATATTACAACCAAGATCACAATCAATTCCACCACCACCTTCATTACCACCTCCACCACCTCCTTTAATGGCAAATCATCATACACATCATCATCATCATCAACATCAACCACATCATCATAGTGGTAGTGGATCATTAACTGGTTCACAATTTACACATATGATTGGCAGTTCAATTAATGGTACTGGGAATAATTCCAATAGTAAAATTCCATTATCTCATGTTTGAAACAAAACAAGCTTGAAGCTAAGTCAATCTAATCATATCATTATCATTCAAACATTTGTAAATATGAAACTTGTACAAATTCTTTTTGATTATTTATTATATACAGGTATAATTCAAAAAAAACAAAACAACAAACATTGAATGTGATCTCTATACATACAAATTATCACAAAACAAAACAGATCACCACCATTACATTTTAAAAAATGAAATGATTTAAGCAATCAAATCAAATCAAATCAAAGCCAAATGAACAGGGTATTTTCATTCAAACAAAAATTATCAAACAGCAAAAAAAAATCATTCAGATACAAACATTTTTTCTTTCTTCTTTTTACTTTTAGCTATGAACGAATGTATTTAGAAATTCATTGTTTTTTTTACATTTTAATTTAAATAAAACAAAATTATTATAAAAAATAAGTCAATGTTTTGTCGTTGATAATAATATTGTTTCCAGATGAATCGGCAGATTACAGGAAATAATTGTCTTGATCAGCTGCTTTTGTCGTTGACAATTATCATTGGGTAAATGTTTTAATATTTTATAACAAATATTTACATAAGTTTCAATACGTTTTGAATCATTAACTTTATAAATAATTTTACCCAACAACATTATCAATTCAAAATAAAATGATTCATATAAAATATTCGTTTGTTTATCCGATTTGTCATCGTTTTTTTGATTTTGTTGTTGTTGTCGACGTCGATTTTCCAAATGTACTGTATTCCAAATTGTTGTTAATAATCGAAATAATGAATCTTTATTCAATGATGATGATGATGACGAATTATTTATTAATGAATCATATGGTGGTTGTACAATCAACTGATGATTAATCCATGTAAAAATTGAACATTCTTGACAAAGAATCCGTACACCTTCATTTAATTTGGCCAACGTTTGTAATAATTTCATTATTAATGATTTATTTTCCATTGGACATAATGATGATGAATTATAATAGGTTAACATATCTGTAATGGCTTTACGTTTATGCCACATTTGAACATCGCGGTCAGTTCGTAATGAATCAATCATCCAATTTAAAATAAATTTTTGATGTAACATATATGATATTGGATTTGTTCCATTCATATTCGATATACATGCAGAATAAAGACCAATGGGTATTGAACGATAATTCATTGATTTTGATTGTGAATGAATCAAAAAATTTCGTATGGTTGGAAATAAAAGACATGTTGGATTTAATAATATTTCAATAATACGTGCAAACATAACTGTATGGCTACATTCAATACGTTGATTTTCATTGGACATTCCACTACGAATAAAATCTATTAAACCGATCCATAATTGTCGATCTTCAGGATATCTGGCACAATTTAAATGATGATAAAATAATGCTAAAATACGATAGGCAATATTACGTATTTGTTGACAATAACTTGATAATGCCGTAATCGTATATGATAAACAACCATATGATATAAATTTATGATATTTAACAATCGATTGAACGGAAAGAAAATGATAAAACATTGGTAATATGAAACGAGGATCATATCGATCCCATTGTTCAATTCCATCAAGAATTACAACTAAATCATCATCGATAGCGACATCTATCGGAAAACAAGCTATTGAATTGGTAAGATAACGACTATTGTTGAAATTTTGAAATATTTCATCAATATTTGGTGAACGTAAAAATGGTAATTTTTGTGAATGTTTTGCAGCATAAAATTGTGCACCAGATTCACCCCATATAAATGGATGATATCGTTGCATATTCAATCCATTCGATTCCAAAAGTGATAATAATTGAATTAAAGTTTGATCTGTGAAATGAAAAGTGAAATTTTACATTTTTCCTGAAAAAAATGAATCAAATCTTACCTTCTAATGAAAGTGTAGCATGATATGAACTAAGAATGAAATCAACAATATTTTCAATTTGTTTACAATGATCGATACGAATTGTACAAAGTAGATAGAATAATTGTATTAATTTATATCGAACATTACCAAATGATGATTGTAGAAAAATTTGTCGAATAATTGAATGACCAGCGATTAAATCAAGTGTATAGTCAAAAAATTCAAAACATTCTTCACGACTGGATATTCGTTCGATCAATGTATAGAATTCATTTAAATTTTTCAGAATTTCTTCATTATTTAGCGTATCATTAATGTTTTCGGCACAATGTTTGGGAAAAAGATTTTTCAGAAATTTTCGAACACGATCATTTAATTCAGCGGGATTTTCAGCAGCCAATCGTACAATATCATCATCATTCGACCAACCAACCGATTTAGTCATTTTGAAGTGAAATTAAATTCCCAAATCAAAAAAAAATATCAAGAAAATTTGAATTTTAAAAAAATTTAAAAACAAAACACACGATGAAAGACACACGTGAGTTTTTTATCCAACTATTTCAACCTGAACAGGTTGAACAAGTATAAATGGCAATTTTTTTTTTGAAAAATTCATCAAAATTGAGTTTTTTCTTTTTAAAATTCAATTTATTTGTACAAAATCAGACCAGAAAAAATAAAAATAAAATAAAAAATAAGTGGAGAAAGTCTATTTACAACAGATATCAACGAAATAAATAATTGTGACAAATTGCAAATCATCATTTCAAATGTCGAGATTGGAATCAGCAAAAGATGATAATTGAAAAACTTTTTTTTTCATTTGTTCTTCAAAGACAAACTTGTATTGGACGTCGACATTTTTCACAAACAACATGACAACACCAATTAAATTTGCAACGACAATTTTCTTGTTTCATAATCGTACGAAAACCACGTCCACAACATAACATATCGCAACCACCGGTACCAGTACTATTTGTACATTCACGACCACGTGTACCTAATGAACCGGTTTGACGATCAACATTACAAAAATTTGGTGAATTTTCCGAATACACAAGGTCTTCTGGATTTGGCCAACGTGAATGATGCTGGTCTTCGGGTAAAAAACGTTTACCCGTATTATCCGATATTACTTGTACGGCTAAATCGAATTTATATTTAAGTCGATTGGATACACTACGTAAGTTTGGTAATTGTCGCCAACAAGTTTTTGTTGTACATGATCCACTCATACCATGACATTTACATTTATGTTCCAGATAATTTCTTACCGACTAATTCGAAAAAAAATCAATAAATTCCGTTAATCAATCAATCAATCGATCGATTCAATCAAATCACTTACCAATCTACCTGCTTCATAATTATGTAATAAAATTTGATTTTTAAAATCATTATTACCACGTTTCCAAAGATTTTCATCTAAAAATTCTTTTGATTTACGATAAGCATAATTTATATAATTATTACAATAATTTTCTGCAAATAAAACTATAGTTTTATTAAAAAAAACCAAACGAAATTAGTAAAATTGACAATTAGTTGTAAATAACTAAATGAATACAAAAAAAAAACAAACTTACAATTAGGATGTAATGTACGATATGGTTTTGTTTTAACATCACAATAACAATCCATTATTGTACCTTGTGCACAACCGGTTGCAATTTTATGTACAATAGCAGCCGATGTCATTGCATGTACGAATCCAGTTTCTCTTGTATCTTGTTTATGTGATAAAAAAAGGATTGATTGATTGATTTATCGATCGATTTATTTATTGATTAATCTTGCGGGTGCTTACCTTTACTTAATAATTTTCTCATTGAACGTTTATTTTTTGTTGGACAATTCCATTTACGATCAGAAAATTGATATTGACATTCACGTACTGATTCAAATGAACCATTAATAATTTGTGATATAATTGTTGGTTCACGTTTACAAATATAAACCTGTCTGGAACGTAACCTGTTTACTTTACTACATATACGATTTGGATCAACAATCAATAAACGGCTTAAAAACCTATGATGAGGGATTTTTCCGGAAAGCAAAAACAAACAAAACAAAAGAATCATTAATTGATTGATTGATTAATGGATGTTGTTATCGATGAATTTTTGGGGTAAAAATCAACAACAACAACAACAACACTGGATTATTCAAACAAACAGAAAAAAAAACATTGTTTATTCTTCCGTTTCGTGTTCTGGTAATATTATTTTTCTGGGTTATATTTCCTTGTTTGTTTCAAATGTCTTTCTTTTGATAACAACCCAGGTAAAATACAAAAGGTAAACGAAAACGTAAAAAACAACATTAAACGCGGTAACTAACTACTGTTGTTTTCAATCGATAATCGATTATTAATGACAAATAATGGGAGAGAAAAAATTGTCAATTGACATTTTTCAGATCAAAAAACAAAAAAAGTGAAACATGAGTGAAAAAAAAACATTATTGCGGTTGCTGATTTGTGGTTTTTGGTTTGGTTTGGTTGTTTCAAACATCTGTCTTTTTTTTTCTCTCGTTTCATATCCAGACACCGAAATAAAAAAGTGATAAATTTGTTTTTTTTTCCAAGGAAACCAAAACCAAAAAGTTCAAGTGTCAACCAACAAATATTGGCGATTGAGGTGAACACAGAAAGGTAAAGGTTAAAAGCGAACAATAAGCGTAGGTGGATTACAACAACAAAAAAAAAGGATTACTTAAAAAATAATGGGGAAAAAACCATAAACGACCGACATAATATTAAATCGTTTTCTTTCTTCTTTCATTGCTCTCCAGGTAAAAAAAAAAGAAACTAATTTCCGATCATTATGCTGTGTTATATGAATATTTGAATGGAAATTCATTGGTCATATGAATAAAGTCGATGATTATTATTGATGACGATTTACGAGTTTAAACCGGATATATATTTCTTAAAATGAATGAAGAAACTCACAAAAAAAGTGGAATTTGCATAAAATTTTGTTGTTTTTTACTTTACTTTCGTTTGATTTTCATTTTTTCTCTGGTTGAAATGCTAATCACATCATCATTACACTACACCACTTATCACCAGCACTAAAACCTAAATGATGCTAATATTTATGAGATACGGGATGTTCTCTGTGTTTGTGTCGTGTGCTTTCTCTGTGTATTTAATTCATAAATTCAAGGATTCATTGACAAAAAAAAAACTAAACTTACCATAAATTAGCTTCACCAATTTTACATGATGAATAGAAAAAAAGTGTGGCTACGATGAAAAATCGTTGAAAAAGCATCCTTTATCTATTTTTATGTTGATTTTTTTTTCCGAAAAACAGAGTGAAAATTTAACATAACATTCGGATTTCTTTTCAGTTGTTTTCAGTGGTTTTTTTCGTCAGTGGTTGTTTTCTTCCAGGTTTTTCTGTGCTGAAAATTAATGAAACGAAAAAATGATAAAATAATAGGCTCATTAATGTCATATTTAGCCAAATAATAACACAAAAAAAATCAAAATCAAAAATCAAACAAATAACGAAAAAAAAAACTTGTTGCATTTCAAATACACACACAAAGTAATGGCAAAGGTCGTAACAACGAAGAAGAAGAAAAAAAAATTCCAATAACATCATCATCATCAATACAAAATAACTTAATTTGATGATGGACGACGGCAGAGGTCAAACACACAAACACTCTGTATAGGTATAGGTTGAATAAAAAAACTGGATATCATTCAGGTAAGCATTTAACAAACAAAAAAAACGAAAATCAAAATCAAATCAAGAAGGGAAAAAAGCGAGAAACAAGACCGAATCACTTTTACCATGACGACGAGCAAACGAAAGAAAAAAAGAATTATTAACATTGAATCGAAATTTGCTTGGGAATTTGAATGTAACAATATATAAACACCTTTTTTGTTTCTTGATAAATGAATGAAACGAAACTAAACGAAAACTAATAACATCATTTAGAGCGATGTGTTTGTGTGTGTGTTTAAAGCTTTATTTTTTTTATTATTCTTGATTTTGATTTTGATTTGATTATTTAGCATCACCATTCATTGAATGTGGACGACGGTACTTTTGTTATTCAGTGAAAAAAACAAAACAAAACAACCTTACCTACATGGATGTTTAAATTGGAAAAAAAACATAGAGAAACAAAACAATGGTTAAACACAATGATAAAATCAACTAAAAAAATATTTTTATTTTGTTTTGTTTGCTAATTCGTTGTTTGAATCCGAAAATTTGATTCATGAAAACAAAACAAAAAATTTCTGACGTTTTTCAGGTGTTTGTATCGAAGTAAGCTAGATAAATTGAAATTTGCAAAAACAACAAGATAAAGGTAGAGAGAGAGAGAGAGAGAGAATGATAGTTATTATTATAGTCAATTATATAATGAAACTATTGAATTTGGACAATTTTTCGTGTGTGTGTGTGTGGCTCGAAGGTCATCATCATTATAATCATGATTAGGGCAAAGATCAAGGCGCGTGTAATTAATCGTTGAGGAGGTGTGCAATGATAATAATGATGATGATGATCGGTTATAAAAGAATTTCTATTTTGAAAAAAAATAAAGAATTAAGTTAATTAAGTAGAAATAGACAACAGCGAAAAGTAGAAGACATTTTGTGGCTATTTCGAATCATTCATTCAATTTGAACGGCTACTAATAAATTTTTTTTTTCGTAGAATCTATCAAAAGTTAAAAAAAATTTAAAGAAAAAAAAACTAAATTATCATTGAATGATGGTGGGGAGTGGAAATAGTTGCAGGAGGGGAGGAAGGCAGGTACAAGAAGAGAGGGGGAAAGAAATAACATCATCAACTAAGTTTGTATGCGGCACACAAAGGTGAGAATGATGATGATGATGATGGAGATTCAAAAAGATGAAAAAAAACATACATTTTTCTTGGCTATCTTCTTTTTCTTTTCGTTTACCACACACAAAGGTAAGTTTTAGATGGAAAGGTACAAAAAAAAAAGATTCACACTAATGACAGTGACCTCTGACCTAAGGACACTTTTAACACACTGTATGCTGTGTTGGTGTGTTGATCATATCTTTAAGATTGACTAAACTAAACTAAATACTGAGAAGAAGAAAATCTTTGAAAAAAAACAAGATTTTGTTATGAATTTTTCCGTGGCAATCAAAAGAATCCAGAAATTACAACAAAAAAAAGCCCAAAATGAATATCCTATGAATGTCTATTAAATAACACTAATTATCATCATTCAGATCAGATCATTCAGATATTTGATGATCGATCGATTAGACAAGAGAAAGATTAAAACAGATTTCAGATGATGAAATTGAAACGATAAAGGCAAACACCTATTTTCACACATTGATGATTGGTCACGAATTTTTGATTCTTAATAAAAATGATGCTAAATGTTCAGCCAAAAAGATCATCAATTATTTTTGATTCTTCACTTTTGAAAAAATCAAAATTGATCCAATTTTTTTTGTTCTGGTTGTTTGAAGAAAAATCATGACACCAGAACAACAACAACAACAACAAAGGTGATAACAAATTAATTAATTATGTTTCAAAAATGATCTACACAATTTGAAGAAAAAATTTGACATTTGAATCTGAAACATACCTTGTTTTTTTTACCTGTCGAATTAAGCACAGAAAATTTAGAGATTTTTTTTTGATGATTACTGGAATTAAAACCGAAAAAGAAGATAATTTTCACAAATTTCGTGATTAATGATGTTCACCATTTGATGAGGACTGGGTGATGATTTTTGTTGTTTGGTTTTTTTTTCTCAAAGTTAAATAAGTTTTTTTCTCTGATCAATGATGATGATGATCATTGAAAACAATCATTGAAAATGATTAAAATATTGTTGATGGTCATCATTGAAATGGTTCATGGTTGTCCATGATCATGATCATTATGATGATGGTCATTTGGTCGTCGTCTAGCTAATTAGTAAATGGGATTTTTCATCAACATATGTTTAGTTTGTTGTAGACAGAAAAATCTTCAAATCAATATTGAGACATAATGGCTACTGAATGAAAATAAAGGACACATGTTTTGTCATTTTGTTTTGTTTGTTGGTTTTTTGGGATTTGAAAATTTCACATTTCAAATCGGTTGTTGAACGAGGTAAAATCAAAACAAAACACGAAACGAAAAATCTTGTGAATACCGATGGGAAATGTTTTTGTTTTTGTTTTGTGAATTTAGTAGTGTCTGGTCTGAATGATTATTTGTGGTCTGACTGTCACCGATTCTTGAAAAAAAATCAAAAGGCGGAGTTTATGAATATCTGAATTTCTGTTCAGTTCTGATTTTTGATCTTAATCACAAGATTAACTGATGTCGAGGATGATGATGTTTTGCGGATGAAAAACCAAAGCCAAAACAATGTAAATGTAGATCAATAAATTTAGGTTGTTGTTCATGGATAGGTATTCACCTAACACATTCAATGTCTAACATAAAACTGAATGAAATATGTGAAATTTGTGAAAGCGCAAGATCAAAAAAACCAAACCAAACCATTATTCATTATCATTGCCCTTTGCAGGTATGGTTGTGGTGGTTCTATGCGAGAAAATAAGGAGGTTCACTCACTTGTTTCACTTCATTTGAACATTTTTTCTTTGTTGAATACATTGAAGCAGCAGCAGTGAAAGAAGTGAAAAAAGCTCAACGAACGGCAAATCGATGATGGCCGCGGCGGCGGCGGCAGTGATCTTTACGTGGTTGTCGGTCGATCGATCGGGCCATTCGATGATGGTGTCGTTGTTGCTAGTCGATTCTTTCAACTAAGCAACTACACAGTATTTAGTTCGCTACACAACCAAAATATACCCCTGTTTGATTGTAAATTCGATGACCATCAATTAAAAGAAAAAAAGGTAGGCAGGTGAGTAAAGTTAAAACGAAAAAAAAAATGGTGGTAGAAGCTTTTTTCTTCCCAAACATTATCAATCAAGAAAACATTTTTTTTGGTAGATGTTTCTGGAATCAAATTGACATTCATTCATCATATCTTTCATGAGATTTTTCGTTGTAGTATCCTGGACAACAACAACAACAACAAAAAAACCAATGAAGAAGAATGTGTCAATATTACACACACAAAACATACATAGAGAAAATATATCACACCATTTATTGAATTGAATTTTCAGCCAATAATCAATATTATTCAAATATTGATTTAATGATGCAAATAAGCAATAAGCAATAAGAAAGAAAGAGAAAAACCACTTGAAAAAATTAGGTGTTATCAAATATAGATTAGTATGCGATAATCTATGTATGTGATTGATGTTTGATCGATTTGCGTGTGATTTTTTGTTGTTTTCGCATTTTGCTAATTTCATTTTTATTTATAAACAAATTGTAATTCTGAAAGTAATTTTGATTTTTAATAAGTTTTTACAAGAGATTTTTATGTTGTTGTTGTTGTTGATTGAGCAGAGAAACAAATTACAAGAAAAATAATCAGATTTTTATAATGAATATTTATAAATATAATTAATAAACAAAAATTAAGCAGAAAAGAAAAAAAAAGAATCAACGAAAAATGGATTTTATCGGATGATGTTACAAGTGCGATGATGATTGATGATTAATGATTTTGTAGCGGCCACCAATTCTATCAAAGTGAAAGAATCCATTCATACGGTTGTGTTAGATGTGTTCAGGAACAGCGATAAATTTTTTTCTTAATTTTACATATTTTACAATTGACCTG